AGGAACATAGCCACCATTTGGCATTTTCTCAAAACACCGTAGCAGAGATTTAAAAGATTTAAATTGCTTTTTGCTCATTTTTGGATGTCGGCCTGAGTTTCCCTGACTCTGGGCCAAGAGTGACACAGGGAAGGGCCTATTACCCGGACCGTAATATGCGCTCGACAAAGCTTGCTGCTGTCTCAAGTCTCATGGCTGTGGTTGTTTTTAAGGCCAGACTGTCGCAAGGGCCTTTCCAGATAAGCATGGCTCCGTGTCCCCAAATCCCTCATCCACTTGTCAGAAGCCGGGGCATCCAGAGATCTGCCTACAGAGGGAACATGTTACCCCCGACTACAGTTCTAGGGCCGGTGGTTTCTCAATCTCTGCCTTGTAATTGCATAGGAATAACCTCCCTCTTTGCCTGCACCCCAGAAGGCAACATGAGACCTCGAGTAACGTGAATAAAAGGCAGGTGTCTGGGGAATAAACGATATGTCCAGAGGTAAGCAGAGGAGCTTGCAACCCGATAATTGCATTCCCCAGCTTTGCTGTTTCAGCAGCTGGAAGCAACCGTGGGCCTGGTTAAGCTCTTATTCAATAAGACTCTTGTACATGCAAGATCAGGGGAAATGCAATTTTTAAGACAATTTGTTTTTTCTTGGCCAGTGCATTCCCTTGGAATTGAGACTTGTTTGGTTGCATCAGTTTAATTCTTTTAACAGGACAATAACTGAGACTGATTTATACTATAACTTTTTAGATATTAAAACGTTAATGAAATTGTTGTCATGAAAAATAGCAGCTTGTGTTTTTATTTTAACCATTCTCAAAGCCTCATCCCTTTTTTAAAAATTTATTTCCAACTCACATAAAGAAATTGCTTTATCATCTAATTTAAAAAATCAGTTCCTCCTATCACCCCCCCACCCCCACATGGTGATTTATTTTCTCTATAGAAAATGGTAATAACTGGCCAGGAATCTAAACGTTAAAAGCAAGGAAAAATGAAATCTTGAAAATGAAAATAAATGATCCATTTTTCTTCTTCCAAAGAAATTGCTGCTCCCCAAAGATACAAGATGTGGGAAGGGGAGGAAAGTAATGATTTCAACTTTAAGTCCCTTGAAAGCAGCCACTTGGCCTCCGTATTTTCCTTCCCATCTATACTTTGCAAGGACTCTTCCAGAGCACTTCAGGGGCCAGCCACTGCGCAGGAAATTTGAAGACGATAGACACTTCTAGAAGATCACTGTAGTGAAATGAAAAACGTGCCTTCGAGAGAGACAGGTACCAAAGGAGTTCAGAGGGAAGAACCCCAAAGATAAAAGAGGGAAGGGACGGTGTCAGAGGAGGGGCCATTTGAGAAGGGTGCCACAGGTGGGCGGCAGTTATCCAACTCGAAGGAGACACGTGGAAGGACAGGTTGCGCGGGGAACACTGAATACCCCAAACGGAAGGGAGGCCGAGCTGAAGATACGTGGTGAAGAACTTAGAACCAGGCCCAGATCTTATCTTCCTTCCCATTGATCGGGTGAGCGTGACACAGGGTCATCTGCAGTGTTACAGAAGTCCTTGTGGTTAAAGCGTAGAAGACAGAACAGACGGGGCCATCCTGGGGGACAGCTGCTGCCCTGGTCCAAGCAAGACATGGAGAGGGCCCGTACCAGGGCAGCGCCAGGGGAAGGCGCCAGAGACCCCTGGAAGGTGGGAGCAGCATGACTGGGTGGTCACTTAGCATCAGGTTTTCAGGCAGAGAACACAGAAAACCGCAGGCTGATAACCAATTTCAAAATCCACACCAAGAAAAAAAATGCCAAAAAAAAAAAAAAAAGCATGGCTGGAAGATGGGAAAAGGTGGGAGACATCCAGTTGGGAAGAAAAGGGCAGAGGGAACTGAGTAGGAAAGAGGCTGAATCAGTGTTAGAGAGTCTCAGGTTTGGAAGAGGACTCCCCTGATAAATGTTTTCTATTTCTTTCTTTACATACTTCAAGTGACAGGGAGCTCACTACCTATGCAGACATCCTATTCCACTGACCCTCTTTGTAAGCACACTGAACCACAATCTTTTTCTCTGGCTCCATATGTACAGCTTCCTTTCAACTTTTGCTCTCAGTGGCTCAATGAAGTTTCTTGGAAACCCACTTGATGTAGCAAGAAGGCCTGAATGGCCGGTCATTCCTCTCATCCTGCTGCTGGAAGAAGATCCTCCACTAGAGCAGGGCAGAGGCTGAGCATAAGCCGCAGAAAAAGAAGGAGAACAACACGAGGAGCTGTGGTTGCCCACGCCTGCCCCCGACCTTGGGTTTTAAGCTACTTTGGCTGCCGGAGTCCCCTGCCCTATCCCATCGCATCAGAAAATCCCGTTACCGTGCTGTTGCAGCCAGCAAAGCAGGCAGACAGGTAGGTGATGCCGTCCGCCCCGCACACTGGAGTGAAGGAATCGGTCTGGCATTCACAGTCATTATTGCAGGGCGAGTAGGGGTCCAGGGCCGAGCCAGGTGCCGAGCTGGAAAAGACAGGAAAAGTGGAAGCCTTACAAACCGGTCAATCTGTGATCAGACACCCCGGTGCCAGCCCCCTGTCCTCGTCTGTGACGAGTCACGTGGCACCCTGCTCACGGAATTCTTAACCTGCTACTCCCTCCCTTTTTCCTCTCCCAACCCAGCCCTCCCTGTCCCGCAAGCACCCACCCAGGGCCACTGCTGAGAGCCACGTGGGCTGTGCGTTGCACAGTGGTGCCAGCAGGGGGGGCTGGCGAGGTGGGAGCCAAGTCCGCTCCAGCTCCTCTCATGAAGTCAGGGGGAAGATGCCCCTTTTACCACTGGCAGCAGCTGGGGCCCAGCTCAGGGCCACCTCCTCCATGATGCCTCCCGATTGCCGCGGCCTCAGCCCATCCCCCTTCCCAGGACCAACCGCTAAACCCCCACAGCTGAACATTCCACTTCTTCCCTGTCTGGTCCGCTCCTTGTCGCTGTGTTTTATCCCTCCCTGGCAGACAGAAAGCCACCTGATACTACACTGCTTCAACTAGATCAGCTTCAACGATTATTGTCTGTCTGACTGATTCAACGTCCTGAGAAAAATAACCCTGAGACGTTTTAAATTTTCCTTTGCGTCACTAAAGGCGCAGTTACCGAGAGCAGGCAAATTGAAAAAAGACAAAAGGGTGGAGTGGGCGTCTCTTAGCCGTGAGAGAGGAGGCGTCGTTTCTTTAGCCTGATTATTTTCCGCTACGTCTCCTAAGGCTCAGAGCACTTCGTAATAATAAAGATGACGACGGTGACACCTGACAATTTATGTGTCATGTAAAGGATCGCGTGCATTATTTCATTTATTCTTAGCATAACCCCACGGGCTTTAGGGAGAAGAAAACTGAAGCTCAGCCAAGTTGGCGGCTCATCCCAACGTACATGACTCACAAGTGGGAGAGGAAGCGTTAGAACTGGGGCAGCCTACTGCGGGCCTACACGTGTTTGCTTATTCTTTTTTTATGAAAGAATAATGTCAATACAGTAAGACTCTGCGCCCAGCCGCTGTGGTTTTCTACGTGAGAGCGGAGCGACCCACCACTGGAGCAGCTGCGAGGCCGGCACGTGCAGACCGGGAGGCCCCATGTCTGGACAGGGAGGGAAGGGGCAAGGTGGGGTGGGGATGAGAACAGGCGACCTCGTAGTGGTCGGGAAGGGGAAGGAGGGACGCAGGGTTCCCGGACTGTGCACGCACACGGGGAAAGCTGCCTCTGCTCCGTTCGCCCATTCTGCCTGCTCACTCTTGCCAGGGGGCAGATAAGCCCCGGCTCTAGTGCCATCTTCTGG